GCGTCTGAACGCACGCCCCAGGCTGGGGAGGAGGCTCCTCCGCGCAGACCCACGGCCGCCCAGGCGCGCTTCGTCTTCGCGAGTGCGTGTCACTGTCGTCCTCCTGGTGGGGAGGGGTGTCTTCTAAACTGCCAGGCTCCCGCGGCTGTTTGCGTTGCTTTTCCTATTTCTTTTTAATCCGATGTCTCCAGCCCGTGGAGATCTCTACGCTCACTTCCCGCGCGCCCTCGGGCTGCCCAAGGGCACGTCCTGTCCGCCCCACCTGGCGGGGCGCGGCTGTGAGGTCAAGTTCCCTTCTCCTTTCCCAATCCGCGTCGGATCCCCCTTCCTCGCAGCCTGCGTGCAGATTGGAGCCCCGAGATCTGGCTGCTCCCGTGGATGGCGCTCAGTGCCCTTTGGCGGCCCTTTGGCCCCGCGGGTGGGAGCGAAGCGGGGGCCGCAGACGTCCAGCCGGCGCTGCGTGCGGCCCCTCCTCGCTGCAGCTGGGCGCGGGGGGCTGAGGGAGTGGCAGGTGCTTCTGCCTGGCTCTCCCTTGCTAGGCCCCCGGGTCTGTGAAAGTTTGGGATGGGTGGCACTGTCCTCTCCGTTGACATGCCGCACGGCCCTCCACCAGCCTTTCTGCCGGGTCCTCTTATCCTCGCCTCCGCGGTGCTTCATCTCCAGTCCCCCCACCCTGCATTCTGCCCGAGCGCCCCGGGTGGCTCTGCCCCCAGGGCACTTTCAGGCGTTCAGTCCTGCAGCCCGGGCGCAGATGTCTCTCTTCCTGCCCCGGAGGTGTGTGAACATGGATACCCCACCACCCAGCTTGCGTTACTGGGGCGCTCAGCCGCCCCCGCCCGCTGCACTTTTCCTCTCTAGAGAATAACAAAATCATCGAGTGCAATGCCTGAGCAAGCGCCTGGGGGTGGGGATAGGAGCTGCAGATGGAACAGACCCAGTAGCTCGTATAAATTTCCCGGAACATCTGACCTCTTTGGGGGGCAAAGAGAATTTTGGTCTAGGTACTCGGTTGGGCAGGTTCACTGTCTCCTCCCTTTTCGCAGGAGGGCTGTTCAACTTCTCACCTGAGCTATCCCAGGACCTGAAATGGACTTTTCTGGAAGGAGTCTGCGTGGGATGTGCCAGCCGCCAGCTAGCCGTGACCTTGAGCATTTTCTAGGCCTGAGCATTTGGCCCTTGGCAGGGAGGTCCCTCTTTCCCTAAATCTGTGCCTTTGGGGGCACAGATACCCTAAAGATCAGGTGGCAGCTTCTTTTCCTTTTGCCCGGGACCACACCAGATATAAGCGCACCAAAAATATTCCCTACAGTTCCGGTGGCATGGAGTGGGCAGGGGGTGGGGGAGGGGGAGGCTGTCTGGGTTCCCAAGTCCCGGACTCACGGATCCCAAATTAAGAACAGCTGGCAGAAGGAGCCTGGTGATAGGGGGGAGAGGGGGGTGAGGGCAAAAAGGTGTGGGGCTAGCATGGCCTCCCCTCTCTCCTCTCCCCCAGTCACCCAGACCACCCTTTGGGAACCCGAGCTAGGGTCGCTGCCCCCCGCAGGCAGGTGGGCAGGTAGGTGCTCGGAGGCTGGAAGCACACAGCCACCGCCGCCCGCGCAGCTCCCAATCTCTGCCTGGCCAAAGCAGACTCACAGTGCCCCCTGGCGGTCGATCGTGCGAGCACATTTTAAAAGGCGGTGCCCAAGTACCACGGACTCTACTCAGCCCCAGGAAGTGAGCTTCAAGGCATTACATTAATTTACCCCCGGCCTTTCTTCTTCTTTAGTGTTTTTATGGAATTCATTGGGGTGACATTGATTTTCAAAACCATGCAGGTTTCAAGTGTACAACTCCATTAAATTTCATCTGCACCCTGTATGTATAGTACATATAATATATATGGCATGGACTATTATTATCCAGTATCCTGCAGAATAAGAAATTAAGGCACCAAAACACTAATTTGCCCCCAAGTATCACTGTACAAGGTGAAGCCAGGGTTGGAACTCGAGGAATAAATGCAGTGCCTGTCTTGCAGCTCCTAACCTCCCAGTCTCCATTGTGTGCTGTGGAGCAAATGCCAGAGAAATTGGGCTGGTTGTAAGAAGGTGCTCTTTTTTTTTTTTTTTTTTTTTTTTTTTAAGACTAGGAAACCTAAAGCTCCAGGTTTTATTATTGTGTTGTTTTCTTTCCCAAGTTGTACGAAAAGTCCAACAGTGCTACTTCACAGTTCCTAGCTTGCTTTTGTACAAGCTTTTCCCCTTCGGGAGCTTACACATTCACCTTGTCTCATTAATCCTCAGTCAAGGCAGCAAGTATTTTTATTTCCATTTTATAATTAGGGGAACTGGTTTGGGGGAAGATGAATGACTTGCCCAAGGTCATACAGTAAATCAAGACAGAGAGGAGAACTAGCCTGCCATGTCCCAGTGTCGCCCCACCAGGCAGCACTGATTCTCCTTTATTTATGTGCAATGTCACTGTCCAATTAGGAAATAAAGCATCCTGGTGCTCTCTTCGGAAGCCTTTTATAAATTCATCAGTTGTTAATCAGTCATAAATAAAACTTAGTCTCTGCAACATCCTGCTATCCAGAGGCTTCCCTAGTGTGAACTCTGGAAACACTGTCTACCAGCTATCCCTCTGCTTCTCTCTCTCCTACACTTGTGCAAACCCTCAGGCTTCTGTCTCTCCACTGCTTGCCTTTGCATATCGAACCTTTTAATAGATTTAGTTCTAGAGGCTACACCATGCAATCATTTGAGAATGTAGAAGTTTTATAGCCTTAAATGTGTCTCTCTCCATGGCTCAAATCCAAAGTAAAACTGGCAAGGACACTTGGCTAATTTTAAGCTTCAGAGCTAGAGTCTCAGAGCCAGAAGGCCATTCGAGATCATCTCAAGCATCCGTCTTACGTGGAAGATGTCAAGGCTCAGAAAGGTGGGTATTTACCTGAGGTCACACGGCCAGTTCATGGCAGAACTGGGACAGAACCAGGTCTGCTTCCTCATAGGCTCTTCACAATGCACTGCACTGCCTCATTTTTGCTGTAAGTGCCCGGCTGCTGTCAAAATCATTCATTTACTCATCAAATGTTTATTAAGTAGGCACTTCAGTGCCAGGCACTGAAGCAAAAAGAGTTTTTCTGCATTAATTGGAACTGGAAAAATCTCAGCATGTTAAATAAGTAGAGAATAAACTGCTTGCTTTATATGTTAGTTCATGAAGTAGGAAGGTTACAAAGGTGATATTTTCTTCTATCTTTAATTAGTTATCCAAATTTTGTGAACCATAACATTAGGCAAAATTTATAATGAGACTATATTTTACATCCAGACAAAGTGTACTTTAAAAAAACAAGTTGCTATTATACTCCTAGGCACAGCCTTAAAACACAAATTAATTTACTCAACACACATTGTCAAGTACCTATACTATTACAAGTATGTTTTAGTTGTATTGCTTTATTAGAGTTGTTTCTTTTTATACAAATATTCAGAACATGTATCCTGCTGATTATTATTTAATATGTTTGGGGCCAGATTTTTTTTTCTGAGAGAGGACTTCTTGCCTATTGAAAATTAATGAGAATGTGGGTTGTGGAGAAAGATTTTTTTCAGGCATCATTTTAGAACTATTTCATTGTGGTACTAACTCTGGAAAAATGCCTGTTGATACTTTCAGTGTAATACATGAATGATAAGTACATTCAGGTTTTAAAATCTAAATATCAAAAAAACAGCTTTTCTACTTTGCTCAAATTCTGTAACTTGATTTAAGGATATAAAGTGGAAAATAATTTGTTTTGAAATTTTCTTGGTGCCATTTTATTTCTAAGGTAAATGTTCGCACATAGGGTGTATAAAAATTAAGTTCCATTAACACCTATTAAACATCAGTTTCCAGAGTGCCTAGTTTTGTAAAAATCAAAGATATACAATATTAATCCTATAATGCAGAATATGTCTTGCTTCTGTTTACCATGAGCTACAAAAAGCATTGAGAAGGAACATATGCCACAGGGAGAAGTGAGAATAATGGACTTGAGTGATGGAACAGGCATTCTGTTCTCCAGTGACTGGGCAGGAGGCATTGGGTTGGGTTGGCAACGTGATTGGGAGCAGGCTTGGTGGGGGTGTCTGTTAATATGTCTGAGCTGTATACATTATACTTGTGTGTGAAACACGTATATGAAAGGAGAGAAAAGGAACAGTAGGGAGTAGCCGCAGGATGCCAATAGATTATTCATTGCTATTATAATAGGCCAGTTCTTTAAGGAAGAAAAGAAAAAAAAATGTTCAAAAAGTCAGAGACCTGAAGGTCACTAAAAGAAAGAGAGCGAAGCCCTGGCTGGGTGGCTCATTTGGTTGGCATGTTATCCTGTACACCAGGAGGCTGCAGGGTTGATTCCCTGTCAAGGCACACACTGGGTTTGATCCCCATATATGAGAGGCAACCGATAGTTGTTTCTCTATATCTATCTATCTCCCTTTCTCTCTCTAAAAACCACTAATAAAAAAATATCCTCGAGTGAGGAATAAAAACAGAATCTGAGAGGGAGAGAGAGAGAGCGAGCGCTAAGCAAGAGCCTAATAGTGACAGAAAATAAAATTCTTATCCTCTTATCTCTGGTAGCCCCCAAACATTCTATATTTTAAAATGCACTCATAAAGAGGAGTTAAGGATTAGTTCAGTGCTTCCTAAGATAAAAATAATAGATGGAGGGGTTGTTTTTGTTTGTTTGTTTTTACTTTTAAATATTCACCTAAGGATACTTTTCCATAGATATTTAGAGAGGTGGAAGGGAGGGGGAGAGACAGAGAGAGAGAAACATTGATGTGAGAGAGACACATTGATTGCTTGCCTCCTGCATGCGCCCCTCCTGCAGGGCCAGGGATTGAGCCTACAATTGAGGTATGTGCTCTAGA